TATATTTTTACTTTCGAAAGTTTTTCCCTTTCATTCAGTAGTTGATAACTTTCTGAAACAGTCAGTCACTGACAGAGAAATCTTTACTCTACAAGGCTTGTAGAGTAAAGATTTCTCTGTCAGTGACTGACTGTTTCAGAAAGTTATCAACTACTGAATGAAAGGGAAAAACTTTCGAAAGTAAAAATATAGGTTTTTTTCAGCGTAAAGTAACAAACTTTAAAAAATTTGTATCTCCTGAACGGAAGGCCTTGGAAAGCTGGAAGTGGTCTTATTTTGTAGAGGACACTTTACTCTATAATGCACAACATTTAACTCAAAAATAAAAAAATATTCTAAAAGAGTCTAAAAGAAGAGGGGTTACCTTTAATTTTCTCTCATGGCACACAACAGAATTTGATAATATATACACCATTGGATAGAGGAAGTCTTTCTCTACAAACCTACATATATCTCATTCCGGAGTCAAAAATTACACTGAAACTTATAGTCGCCTTTAAACTAAAATTTATTCGATGTTTTGAATAAGACTGTTTATTTATTTTCATGAATTCACAATATAAAATCAAAAAACGCAGACACTAAAATAGTTAAATGCACTCGAAAATACAGAAAGATACCATGCAGATAAATTTATCTATATAAAGACAGAGAGAGAGAGAAAATCCAGGATAGGAATATCATAATGGAATTGGTTGATAGAGATAAAAGTGTAGAGAGTTTCAAAAGAGAAAGATAACATAAAAATATTTCATTTTAGTTTACTATTTATGTTATGCATGTAGCGAACGAAACGAAGGAGAGTAAAAAGCAAAAATAAATTAAGACAAACATAGTGTCAAAGCAGTTAGATTTTATCTTGGTCCTCCTGGATCGAGAACTAGTTTAATATAATGACATGTAGATGAGCCACTATTGGTGCAGAGCAGGCAAATAATTTTAATAGCAGTTTCTATTCATTCGACAGCAATTTTTTCATTTCGTGCTAATGATTTTGTTAGTCTAGCGTTTCCTCTAGTTGTTATAACCGACAGAAACGAATTCTCGTTTTGTCTCTTCAATGTTTTCTAGTACTAGTTGATGTACTCTATCCTGTAATCAGGTTGACTAGCTTCTTATCGAAATTTGGCTATGTATTTTGAAAAAAATTGTTCTATGACCCCAACATCATCAGGGAACAGGGGAATTAGTATCTTTTCAAACAGAAACTTTTTCATGACTCTGTTGACTTTTTTGGCGTCATTGTCTACGTGTATAACATAAATAGAAAACTAAAATGAAATATTTTTATGTTATCTTTCTCTTTTGAAACTCTCTACGCTTTTATTTGTATCAGTCAATTTCGCTATAGTATTCCTACCCTGCATTTTTTTTCTCTCTCGCTTTGTATAGATTATATGTATCTGCATGTTATCTCTCTATATTTTCGAGTGCATTTAACCACTCTGCGTTTTTCAATTTTATATTGTGAATTCTTGAAAATAAACACTCTATTATTCGAAACAGTGAATGATTAATGAAATGAAAGTCAAAATTCAGGCCGTAAATTCCGCGTGTGTGGAAGAGGGGGTGTAGCTCCCTTCCCCCCAAAAAAATAAAAATTTGTCGTGCGTCTAGTAAGCGCCAGGTCAAGTTTCCAATGCTTAAGAATTTCTGTAACGAAAAAGCAGTTGTAAAGCAAAGTTTATTTAACTACTTTGTTTAGAGAAACACCATGGCTTACACATCTAAAACAAGCAGCTGATAGAGTCCAAAATAACACTTCCAAATTCACGTTTTCTACGGCTAAACAACTCTATGGTGTGTATTCATTAAATCAACTATCGAATCATCGAGCCGTCGTAGTTCTGCCCTATGCTGTTCTAAGTTACGGATTCACTGAGCTTTACGCAGTGGGTATGTCTGTTTGACTTGCTTTTTCTTATGTAAATGCAAAGGACTCAGTAATTTAGGCATACCAATGTTTGTTCCATCGATACAATTCATTGCGCAACTAAATATTGTCGACGATAGAATTTTACCAACTGGAGCTTATTGTAGAAACCTTAAATTTGCTGATATTCCTAAGCAGCATCCAAAATCAAATCATCCCTATTCACCGGATATAGCGCCTAGCGAAAATCTTGAAGCGTTCAAATACTGGATACAATTTGCTGATTTCTATCAACTTCCATACATTCAAACATTTGATTCATGGGACGATTTAATTGTGAAATTAGCCCAAACTAATTTTCAGTCAGTACACGACCAAATGATGACAGAAAACTTGAGACGACGAACGTATCTTATTAAAGAATGGTTGAAAATTATCGACCAGATTGAGCCAAATAGAACCGTTCCTCAGAATTATAAACAGGCAATTAAAATTTTGTGGGAAACAGAACAATTACAATCAACTTGAGCCTGTAGAGATCTACATTACTTTAATAGAAAAGTAAAATCCCATTTTACTTTTTAAGTAGTGAATCGTGATTGTAAGTTATCACGATATTCCACAGCAAATAACTAATGAGTGAGTAACCCAAGTTATTACTAATTACTTACATGAACTTAAGATTAAACTAAGATGTTGGCAGTTCATCAGTCAAGTGCTACAACAAGCGTTTTGGAACATCGAACTTTGTGACGGTCTTTGAAGTTGTAGCGTCAGCAACAGATTCTAAGCCCATGTTGCTACTGCAAACTCTAACATATACTGTATAAGATACTTACAGAAGTTCGGCTTATACAGTATATGTTAGAATTAGTTTGTTAAGCGCCTGTAAGTAACTACTAGTAATTTTGATTTCTAGTTTAATGTCCAGTTATGATTCTGGTTAAGTAGTCTTAATTTCTAAACTAAGGAGTATGTTCACGACAAGTAATGTTCATCTTCGATCGTAACGTTCGAGGAAACGGATTATCTTTCCCCGGTCTTATTATTTTCTTGATCTGACTTTGGAACAAAGACACGACGTTCTCCAGAGAACTGGAGAAAGTAACAACAAGGACAAGAAGTCTCTATTCATTTTAATAGGCAGCTACAGCAACAGGCGTCAATGAAGCTCTTGGTTAGCATCGTAGTCATGTCTAATTAAAATCAGTGGGCAGCGGGAGGTGAAACAACAGAAAAATAAACAGTGCTGAGCCGACAATATTTATTTTTTCTCGTTCCTCTCTTCTGGATCGGAGGACAGTCACACTAACAATTCAACATAAGAATAAAACTTTTATTCTACTTATCATACAAATATCGGTCAACACACAGAAAAGACACCATAAACAGACGAAATCTTATGAAAACTGACGAGCGACTAAAATGACTTACACATCTGAAAGTATTTCCAGCTTATAGTTATGGTTTGTTGCTGTCTGATTGAAAGAATAATAAAAATGTTTCCTTTTTTGATATTACAAACGTGGTGAAATAAACGTCCTGCTACTTAAAGCGAAAATCGGTCTAACTTCAAACGTGATAAAACATATATGTCTAGATAGATAAAGAATGGATAAAATATGAAAAGAGAACGGAATTATCATAGAATGGAGAACGGAAAATTATTTTTGAAATTTTTTGATTTATCGGACGGCATTGAAAAGAGAACGGTTTTTTATATATTTCTAAAAACACTCAAAAGAGAACGGTTAAAATATTTATTTTTCAAAACATTGAAAAAAGAACGGATTTACTAATAGCTACAATGATCTTCTTGAGAGAAAAGTATGACTTGACCGCGCGACGGCTAAACTAACAAATATC